GGTTCCTCAACACTCTGTGCTCCACTGTTGGGGTTGTACGTGAACCAGCCGTGTACTTGGGCAGCAGGGAAAGCCACCATGACCGTGGCCCCTGTGATCAACCAATGCCATTGGGCTATCCGCAACTTCCATTGGCACGACAGCTCTGATGAGTGGAGCTACATGGCCCAAGGAGTGATGCAAGTCTATCTGACCTCTCCCACTGGTGTCCCTTGGCATTCGGCAGTGAACACTGTTGGCCCGGGTGGAGTCTGGTTCTTCCCCAGGGGTTGGCCTCATGCCTTTGTCTGCGTCTCCGAAGAAGGCTGCAACTACGTGCTGACCTTCAACGGCCCACAGGCCGTGGCTGTGAACGATCACATGATTGCAGAGACCTACGCCCAAATGCCAGACAAGATCGCGGCCTATTCCATGGGAATGAGCCAAGGTGAGTGGGCAACTGCCAAACCAAAGGTTGGGAACTTCACGTCGACGTTCTTTGCCAAAGTGGATCCCGGCAAGTTCAAGTGGCTGCCGGAAGAGACTGCGGTACCAGCTGCTGTGAACCGAAGCGATGTGGAAGTGGAAGATACCAACGAGGGTTTGGGAGAGGGAGTTCAGGTCTTCAACATCCGAACGGCTCAGTTCCCTTTTGCGACCCGCATGTCCCAACAACGCATCGTCTTCCAACCTGGAGGCTTCCGTTCTCTGGTTTGGATCACCAATGCTGCTGCGATCATGACTGTGATCAGTGGCCATGTGAATGCAGCAACCCAAGGTGGCATCAGTGGTGCTATCAACACCGTGCCCTCCTCCAAGTCCTACTACGGGAAGAACTTGGGACCCTTCGATTCCTTCTATTTCCCCATCCGCCGTGGCTACTGGATTGAAGAGGCTACGGGGACGGAACCGGCGGAAGTGATTGTGGTCTTTGAAGTGGGCGCCTTGGCTATGCTTGCTGTGGCCTATGCCTACGGCATTTCCCCTTCCTTTTCGTTTCGAAGCCCTGGACGATGTTTCATTGTCCTCTTATGTCAGTTTAATCGTGGTATTAATTGAGGTAGTACTCTAACTCAGCAGTTGGTGCGTAGATCGATGCACGTCATATGTTGTTTTGCGTTTTTTCGTTTGCGGTGCGTCGTCACCTTCCCATTTTGATCTGGGCTAAGGCAACTGGGAAGCTCTTGAAGCCAAAACCGGTTTCAGCTGTGCCAATACTTTGGGAGCCCCCTGGGCCTATGAAGCCACGACTGGGGGCATTGAGTGTCCTTCCCCATCCTTGGCTCAACGTGGCGGAAAGCGCAGCTTGCGTCGTCACGAGACCGATGCTCAATCCTTCATGCAGGAACCAGAGCTTGAGACGGTGAACGTTGAGCTATGACTTCCACTTTGAATTGGAAGATCTATGAAATCAAGAAGCCTTCCATGACGGGTGTAGAGCAGTTCCCGATTGTCGATTGTTTGTTTGCATGATGTCAGTTTCCTCCAGCTTCTGTGCTCAGCATAGTGCCTGTTCATGCCTATTGCCACATCAAGCGCGTTCTCAATGTAGAAGTGCGCTTGCCCCCTGCCGGCATCGCTGTCATTAATTCCCTAGCATGCAGGAGCGTATTAGCTCCTGGCAGCTCAGATCAGCTTAGCAGGATGGAATTGGAGTTCTTCCTGCTGTTAGGATGACATCGACCTCTACACCGCAGGAATGGCTCAGAAAGCGGCCCAACTCGAGCAGACTCAACACGAGTGAACCCTTTGATCCTCTAACTGCAGCCACCATAGCT